GATATTCCAATATACAGAAAAAAAACTTCTTACCCTCCGTGCGAGCAGATAAATAGCACCAACAATGTCACGACGAGTCTTCAGTGACTGTGTTTCAATTAATCGTTTACCATATCGATCAGCTTCGTGCTTTTCTGTGTTGAAACTTCGGACGACACGAATACCGAACACAACCTCATTGGCAGCATCATTTGTATGAGCCATTGAGTCCTGCATTTCCTGGGACAACCTCTGAGGACAGAATAAAGAAAAAAAATTGTCTATAAAAAAAAATAAATAAATAAATAAATATATATATATATATATATATATATATATATATATATATATATATATATATATATATATATATATATATATATATATATATATAATTGAAGGACAACTTAATAAAAATGCCACACTTACTAATTATTTAGATTTGTGTCAATTCACAACATCTGCATATTGTAACAATGCATAATGCAATGTTACTGAGAAAAATAATATGTATTTTTTTTTTTTATTATTTAAGAAAAACATTAATTTCCCATTTATGTCCCAAAAATCTAAAGACGATGATGAAGCACCATATAAAAGATTGCTTTTTTAAAAGTTTATACTTTAACTAATATAGCATGTTAAATCATCTATATCCTTTTTAATACTCGTACTAATCGTCTTTCACTTTATACAGGACCAGGTCACAGGGGCATCAGTCTGAGCAGAGAATCCCAGAATCCCTCTTCCAAGACTAAGCCAGCAGAGAGACATAGTCCCTCCGTGGTTTCCTAAGTTTTCCCCTGGATCTCCTCCCGGGGGGATGGACTGAAGCAACTGCTGAATGAGGCGGCCTGGGGGCATCTGGAAAAGGTGTACAAACCACTACAGCTGACTCCTTTCGATGTGGATGAGAAGCAGCTCAACTCCAAGCCTCTCCTGGATGACCGAGCTCCTCTAAGGGAGAGCCCAGCCACCCTGCTCTCGTTCTGTCAGTCACAATCCAGATTTCATGACCATAAGTGAGGGTAGGAACATACACCAACCAGTAAATTGAGAGCTTTGCCTTTTCACTCAGCTGTCTCTTTTTAATGACAGACTGGTGCAGCATCTGCATTATAGCAGCAACCGCAGTGATTTGCCTATCGATTTCCTGCTCCATCCTTCCCTCACTCATGAACAGGACCCCGAGATATTTAAACTCCACCACTTGAAGTAGAAACTCTCCTTCAACCTGAAGGGGACAGGTCACCTTTTCCGGTTGAGAACCATGGCCTCAGACTTGGAGAAGTTAATTCTCACCATTTTTAATTATAAATAGAACAACCTTTATTGGCATATTACCAATCAAACTCTTAGAATTGCTGACCAGCTTTTAGCATGTTTTAATGAGGATTTTGATGTTTTCTCATTTGGGATGGACTCAGGCTCTTTAAGGTAGAAGGTGGAATCGCTCAAAAGCAAAACTCTTTGTAAAGTTTAAAGATTATTTTGGTTCTAAATCAGTTGATGATTATGAGCCTAACTGTCTGTGGCCTTATGATTATGCTGTTACCTGGTAGTGTGTGTCATAGATGTTCTGAATGAGGCCAGTGATGGGCGTCTCCATCAGAACAAGGAATGTGAGCTTCCAAGACAAACTCATCATCAGGGAGATCATGCCCATCGTTTTGATAAATGTCCTCAGCAGCACGTTGACATTCAGACAAACGGTTCTTCCCGTCAGAGTAGTGTCTTTAGACAACCTGGATGTGATCTCACCTTCATGAGACACATGAAATTTACCTTTATTTATTCTATTCTATTTATTTTACTCAAGGTTTATACCAAAAGCACCTATTAATACATTACCTGTCTTTATGGTTTCAAAGAATCCAATCTCTTGTTTGGTCAGAGCCTCAAAGAGCATCACTTTGATTCTGCAGGTAAACGAACTGATGGCACAAAGTAAGACGCCCCCTCTGCAGCCAGCACTCACAGAACTACAAAAAGGAAGGAAATGAGCTTTCATTAAAAAAATAAACATCAAGATTGGATTCCTGTGGAAGACAAACTTCATGCTCCCTACCTTCCCACAGAGTACAGACCCATGAAGAGCAGAGCTGTGAGGAAATCAGTTTGCTGATAATGACTGCCAAGGATGTCAATGACTCTGCCGGTGTAGAATGGGATGAACATCTCACCTGAGAAGAGAAGATGACAGAGACATCCCAGTGCTATTATGAAAATAATCCAACAGATTGACAGGAACACTGAGCAACCAAAACGGGGCTGCTCAGTGGTCCTGCGGGTAGCACTGCTGCCTTGCAGCAAGAAGGTTCTGGGTTTGATTCCTGGCCCAGGGTTTTTCTGTATGGTTTGGTTTGTTTGCATCTTCTCCCTGAGCATGCATGGGTTCTCTCCTGGTACTCTGGTTTCCCCACACAGCCAATTAATTAAAGGAATAGTACACCCAAAACATGATTAGCCTTCATTTTCTACTCACCCCCATGCTGAACAACACTCTGGAGTACTTTTTTGATATCTCAAATGCATCTGGAGATCTGGGAGGCTTCTTGCTGTCTGCTGACATTCAAATAATGGAGGTCTATGGCGCCCGAGGCAGAAAGGTCCATAAAAGTCCACAAAAAACGTGTCAATATTCCTCCATACTGCTCGTCCAATGTATTCCAAGTGTCCTGAGTTGGTAGCGTCCATAATTTACTCGAAACGAAGTCATTTAGAATGTTTTTAGAGCATAAACAGTAGTGTATAGGATTTCCTAAAAGCGCGCCTGCGAGTTCACGAGCCTACGGAAACTGCGGCAGACCAAACCAGATGAAAGTGCGCATTCAGCGTCTTCTCTTGATAATGCAAGCGTAGAAGAAGAAAGGTGCTGTTTACCTGTGCAAAGAAAGAAACAACGAAAGAAAAATGTCTGAGGACTTCAGTGTTGAGGAAGAGCATGAGTTCTTTGCCGAGCTGAATGCGCACTTTCATCTGGTTTGGTCTGCCACGGCTTCCGTAGGCTCGTGAGCTCGCAGGGGCGCGCTTTTAGGAAATCCTATACACTATTGTTTATGCTCTAAAAACATTCTAAATGACTTCGTTTCGAGTAAATTCTGGACGCTACCAACTCAGGACACTTGGAATACATTGGACGAGCAGTATGGAGGAATATTGACACGTTTTTTGTGGACTTTTATGGACCTTTCTGCCTCGGGCGCCATAACCTCCATTATTTGAATGTCAGCAGACAGCAAGAAGCCTCCCAGATCTCCAGATGCATTTGAGATATCAAAAAAGTACTCCAGGGTGGTGTTCAGTATGGGGGTGAGTAGAAAATGAAGGCTAATCATGTTTTGGGTGTACTATTCCTTTAACCTGTTAGGTTAATTGGCTCCTCTAAAGTCCCCTTAGGTGTGGGTGTGTGCGTTAATGGTTGTTTGTCCTGAGATGTACTAGCTATCCAGGGTGTACCCTGCCTGGAGACAGGCACCAGCACCCCTCTAATCCCCACTTGGGATTAAGAGTGTCAGAAAATGGATGGAGGGATGGATGGATAGACCCCAAACCACATTAACGGCTTTTATTGGTTATTAAGGCCTATTGATCATCCCCATTAAGACTTTTGAGTTATTATTTATGCATTAAAACTTCTAAATGATAAAATGCTCTCACTTTTTCCTGTAATGGAATAGAGGCTACTGTTTACTTACAGATTACTGCCAGTGACAGGAACACCAATCCTCCTAACAGCAGGGCATAATCAGGCCTGTAGAGGCGGACAACCCTCATGAACAGAACCCTGGATCTCTGTTTCTGCTGTTTGCTCCCAGCCTCCTCCTGGCTGTCCGGGATGGTGATCTCCCAGAACAGAGCAGCTCCCAGCGAGGCTCCAGCGAACATCATCCAGCAGCGAACATCCGCTCCTGGTCCACATTGGCTCTGCTCCCGGTACAGAACCCTGGTTCCGGTCTCAAACACCGCTGGCAGCAGACTGTAGGCTGTTAGAAAGCGGATCAGCAGCGGCTTCAGGTCCCCCAGAAACAGCAAACTGACAACAGTTACTGCAGACCATCGGAGAGCCGCAGAGATCCACAGAAGCGCAAAACCACCCAAAAGGCGGTGAAACACCGCAAATCCTGATGCGTAAAATAAAGAAAGGTCAACAGAAACAGCTACAATCAGAGCGATGACTTTGTTAATTGTTGCTGCTTCTTTCCCTGCCATGTTTGAGCTGCACTTATCCTCATATGACCCGATCTGCTCTAACGAAACCTTTTTCAGAGCTCACTTTCAGTTTCATTTTCTGGCGATTTTAGGGGTTTCCCTGAAGCGCAGATTGGTCAATATTTTTTTTACTTTTAAATCCAAAGATCATCCTAGAAGTCACATCTTTCTATATTTCCTATTCAGTGAATCTATTCCATGATTGGACATTCCTATAATTTAAATAAAAGTACATAACACGCATATTTTGCAAACCCCAAGTTTACATCCATGATCCTCTCATTGATAATTTCAGTACAGAACATGAAATAAAGAAAAATGAATGCTGAGTGATTCAATTAAATGTTAGTTAAACACAAAAATAAAATTTGCACATCCTGGTTTTGCTGAAGGGCAGCAACTTTGACTTTTGTGTTTTAGAACATACTAAATGCAGAAAGAATACTGGTAAAAACTGCTGGTCCGCAAGCCTTAGACATAATTTCCAAGCATCATAGTAACTTTAACTTTCAGTTGTGTTCATATTCATAAGTTTCATTCATGTTATCGATTGAAGTGAAGAGGCCATAAATTTGTCTTCCTGAGTGTACATAACTTAGCCTAAAACCAGACTTAATTTGAGATTAAATGTGTAATTTACTCACAGGAAAAAAATGATTTTGGCCGCTGGTGGGATAAACATAACTGTCATTCCTGTCAAATTCTTAACAAAGTAATTAACCTTTATGACTTCATGTAATAGGGTGATTTTATGAAAAAAAAAGCCAAAACCTGCCTAAATATTTTAAAATAATTCTGAGATTATGAGATTTTGAAAGAAATGTCATTTATTTGAGCATGGTAAAAGTATGTTGGTTCCAGGTTTACAGCCAGTAGTGGAGAGAGCAGAAACCTGCACTTTAATAAAAAACTGATAGATGACAGAAATATCACTGATCAAAGAAGGTGGGAAGGTCATTTCCGAGAATGACATTCTCCTCTGTTCCATGTTCATCAATGGTGACCAAATAGGCTACACCTCCGCTGGAGCCGTCTCGATTCATTGCCAAAGCCAGAGCTGGAAATAAGAACAGGACAGTTAACCTGGTGTTTAAAAACATAAACATGGCATAATGTAGAACAATTTTTATTTCTTGGTTTCAGAAAAAATAGAAAATACACCTACTGTTAACCACAAACTGCTGGGACTCTTTTCTAGTCATTCCTTTGCGATATTCAGCATCAACAAATCCGTAAACATAGGAGCTTCCAGAGCCTCCAACAGCAAAAGGCTGCCTGGTCAGGAGTCCTTTCAGGGTTGCAAAAACCTGCAAACCCAAAGAGAAAAAAATATTGATCTGAAAAATCTGTTGGTATATCTGAAACATTAACAGCCTGATTTCCAAAAGGTTTGTGTGATAAGACACGTGTAAACTTGTTTGCTTCCATATAGGGGGCTCCTGAAAGTAAGCATCTCTGACTTGAAGGATTTTTTGACAGGTTTGTAGAAGGTACACTTGTTTTCTATTAAATTATTATAGGTTTACTGTGCTTCTCAGTATATCCAGTGACTGTTAAGAGCAGTTGAACGAGGTAAATCCAGCCATTTAGAGGGTAGGCTGCAGTAAATCTGTCTTTGGCTGTCAGATGGGGTTTTTCCAGGTTCTATGATTGATATTTAATATTTAATTTTTGCTATTTTCATATTCTTCTTGTATTTTGTATATTTTGCTTGTAGTTTATTGCGATAACTATGCAAAGTGCACCATAAAAGCTATTCACCATTGTTATTTTTAAATGATGAAAGTTCTCTCTTTGCAGAGATATTAATAACTGTGCCGACTGAGTGAAATCCATCGATCTCCGTTTATTTAACTAGGATGAATAGTTGAATACTTTTTTCCCACTACAATAAGCATTTTCATTATTACCCCTAACTACAAGGGACAGTCAAGATGCTCTGGTCTGCAGCAGCAGCTCTGCCACACTGTGTGCTTCATTGTGCCGTTAATTAAGGTTATTTAAACCACCATTTGCTTATCAAATGAGGCTTAAGTGAACTGGCTTACATGTCTTATCTTTTGCACCTGCAATATTTGTCAATCACCCACCACAGACCCACTTGCTGTAGGAAAGTGATTCTGTGTTGGTTGATCACAAGCTTACTTTCACAGTTTTTGTTTTTTTTTGTTTTTTACCATCTAATTTATCGCTCCTTATTTGTATTCTCTAAGGATCAGACCTTAATATGCTGATAACAGGAGTTACCATCGTTTAACTTGAGTTCAACTCAACAGCCAGGGATATTTGTTTGGGGTGACCTTACATAGTTAATTTAACTTTTTAGCTTTATTCTCCTGCTTTCCTTCATCTTAAAAACCACCTTAGTTTCACCAACCTGTCCTCCTCCTCTTCTGTCCCAGCCCGCCACAATAAGATGTGCTGACAGCTCCTCCTTATACTTGTATGAGATGTTTTTCACTAGAGTGGCAGCTGATCGAACCTGTGGGTCTTCACCGATTTCCATACTGATAACAGACATAATCATATTTAGACACATTGTTATATTATTGGTAAAACACATTTGTCCAACAAATCAGATGTTTATAATATTTATTTTCATGTTTTCAAAAATATTATTTATATCTGTCTGTCTATCTATCTATCTATCTATCTATCTATCTATCTATCTATCTATCTATCTCTCTATCTATCTATCTATCTATCTATCTATCTATCTATCTATCTATCTATCTATCTATCTATCTATCTATCTATCTAGATTTAGTGGACTAACAGAAAATGTGCAATATACACTAAAACAACATTTGAAAGGTGCAAAAATATGGGCAGCTGAGCATAAAAGAGAAATTAATATTTAGGAGATCCTCCTTTAGCAAAAACAACAGCATCTAGTCGCCTGCTTCAAATCATCCCACAGATGTTCAATGATATTCAGGTCTGAGGATTGGGATGGACATTCCAGAACATTGGAATTGTTCCTCTGCATGAATGCCTGAGTAGATTTGGAGCAGTGTTTTGGATAATTGTCTTAGTGAAATATCCATCCCGGTGTAACTTCGTAACTGACTCTTGAACATTATTCTCAAGAATCTGCTGATATTTAGTGGAATCCATGTGACCCTCAACTTTAACAAGATTCCCAGTGCCAGGATTGGCAACACAGCCCAAAAGCATGATGCAACCTGTACCTAATTTTACAGTGGGTGGCAGGTGTGTTTTTTTGCCGCCATGCACAATGCCTTTTTTATGACCAAACAACTCGATCTTTGACTCATAAGTCCACAGGACCTTATTCCAAAATGAAGCTGGCTTGTCCAAATGCACTTTTGCAAACCTCAAGCGATTCTGTTTGTGGCGTGCTAGCAGAAAAGGCCTCTTGTCGCATCACTGTCCCATACAGCTTCTCCCTGTGCAAAGCGTGCCGAATTGTTGAACAATGCACAGTGACACAATCTGCAGCAAGATGATGCTGCAGGTCTTTGGAGGTGGTCTGTGGGTTGTCCTTGAACATTCTCACCATTCTTCTTCTTTTCTGCCTCTCTGACATTTTTCTTGGCCTGCCACTTCTGGGCTTAACAAGAACTGTCCCTGTGGTCTTCCATTTACTTACTATGTTCCTCACAGTGGAAACTGACAGTTTAAATCTCTGAGACAACGTTTTGTATCCTTCCCCTGAACGACTAGTTGCTTTTGAGGTGCCCATGATGAATCTTCAGACGAGAACAGAAGATCAACTTACAACGGGCCACCTGAAACACATTTTCTCATGTTTGGATACACCTGGATATGAAGTTCAACTCTTAATGAAGTTACCAAACCAAATTTTTGTTTCAGTAAGTCAGTGAAAAGTAGTTAAGGGCATTCAAATCCATAAAATGATTAAGGTACCCAAGTTTTTGCACCTGTCTAGTTTTGTTTTAATGCGTACTGCACTTTTTCTGTTAATCCAATAAACCTTGATTCAATACTAAAATATTAATGTGTCCATCAGTTATTAAATATATCAAACTGAAATAGCTTTTGCAAACACCCAAATATTTAGAAATAAAGCTAATTAAGATTAATAGGGGTGCCCAAACTTTTTCATATGCCTGTAATAAAACACATGCATCCATCCATGGAGCCCTCACCTGAAAGCTTGTATTGAACATGTATGGTTAGTAATTAACATTGTAAATTTTCTATATTGTTTTGTAGAGCTTGCTAAGTTATTGCATCTTATTTCTGTTAGTCTTCACTCTGATGCAGACCTGCTACAGACCCCTGACCTCACCTGTGGACATCCAGCTGGTAGTTCACGATCTCAGCAATAGTCTGAGCGTCTGCTGCAGATCCAGACAGAGCGCAGTAGATCTTATCATGAAGTGGAGACAGTTTATTCATCACCCTGTTAACCACTGACTGCCTGGAAGCAGAGGGAGTATTCAGATTATTTTCACTTAAGAGCTAAATTCATAATTTGGGTAAAAATGGTATAATAATAGTATCACAGGTAACTTACCCCGCAGATACTCTGGAATCAGACCCCAACACGACCCCTCCATTAAACTCTACAGCAATTATAGTTGTCTGGAAACAGAATTTTAAATAGTTTTAGCAAAACAATCGCAGAGGAATCGCACATTATAATCCCAGAAAGTATATAAAATATTTTACTTACTCCTGTTTTCACCTCCTCGTTGAGCCACTGCGGCTCAGCTTCTCCCAACATGGCAGAAAGATTTTAACGACAGCGAAGATAAAACACGGAACCTGACAGCAGATAAAGAGACCAGCGGGGAACAAACAGCTCCAAGCGGGTCAATAATCCTTCAGTTTTAGCAGAATAATGTTTATCGAAGCCTTTAGTGAATCCAGACACCTCTAGACTCAGGTATCAGACTCCATTTTTTTTTTGACGCAAACCGAAAATGAAACCTAAACTCTTCCTCCTCTGCAGTGAGGTTTGTCCAGTCTGCTTTATGTTTGCATTACATTATTGTATGGTTTATGGAAAAAAAATACACTTTGATAGTGGATTTTTATTATTATATAATATTTATTTTTAATGATTGTTAATAAAATTTGTATCTAAGGAATTTTACCCAAAAGCCACCCTTCCAATAAACCACACATCAGTTATTAAACTTAAATAAAAATATGTGTGTGCTATTTAAGACTTAACAAATTCTGAAATGTTTAAATATGTTTTCATTACCTCTAGGAAAAGTGTGACATTGTTGCATCTTTATGCATTTCAAGTAAGATATAATTTTTTTGGAACTGGGACAGTATTCCACAAATAATTACACTTTACATCCTGTCTATATAAAGCAATTAATTTAATTTACTTACTTATACTTTTCTTGCTTGAGATCATTTGTTTATTAAGGATATTAAATGTATTTAAATCTGAAAAACTCAAACAAAGAGAAAGACAATTAGAAGAAATTTAGTGATACAATTGCTTAGTCTTTGGCGCTCAGACCTCAGCAGGAAACATAGCGCTGAATTTTGATAGATATGCATGAACAGGTCCAATGAACAGGGCTGTTACCCCCCCAGGCCTGAAACTGGTGGTGGAGATAGATGAAGTTGGTCAGTCTGTAGACTGCTGGTTAGTGAGACGGTATGCTGAGTTTTATGTATCCAGTGGACTGCGTGAGCTGATACTAAAGCTTCCTTTAGGGACCTGGAAGATGAAAGTCCAGTTGGATAAACACAGGTTGAAAGAACCTGTCCATGATGAGCAAGCACGAAGTGAAGGTGGAGAGAAAAAACTACCCAGTGGGAATGAACCTCTGGCAGAACCAGGCTCAACATGGCGGTCTTCTGCCGGACCGGTTAAAATGAGACGCAGAATGCAGTAGGAGTCCGGGAGGAATGACATCTGATGACGCTTCAGCTACAATGGTGGAGGAGGGGGTGGAAGTGGGTTGAAACGGTGTCATCTGAATGAAGTCACACAGCTCAACCACCGCCTACGCACCAGACGAGTTGCTACCTAGTGCGAGAACTTTGGATGCCGATTGGCTTTCATGGAGGTGTGGTTCAAATCTGATTGGCTGTGTCGTAGGCGGATGTAGGCGAGCAGTTTCTTCAGTTGAACTTCCGCCTAGGCTCCATTTAAAAATTCTGAACATTTCCCATTATAACAACTTTTCCTCTGTATAGCATCAAAGCTTCTTTATTTTTTTTATCATTATTGCAAACTTTAATACTGACAAAAAAGGAAATACAACATTTTTGGGGGGAAAACTATTTTCATTTTAATAATAAACATTTATTAGAAAAATTACCATTTGCTGCTTATTGTTTCAAGGAATTCAACTACTAAGGAGGTCATAATAGACAGACTCATTTGATTCGTTTTAATTCTCTTGTAAGAGTTTAACTGGGCAAAATACCTATTTTTATACAAAAAACATGATGAGAGTGGAGTTTTTTGTATTGCCTTTTTTTCAGGTCTTAATATCAGTTAAAATAACATTTGGACATGATATTAACCATTTTCTAATAAGGCTAAAGTTTTAAACAGAAAAAATCTGGTCATTCATCATGAAATCTTGGTAGTTTGTCTCCAGGTACGACCACATGCTCCACCCCCTTTTCTGTTATCACCACCAGGTGAACAACACCTCCACTGACGTTGTCCCTGCCCATAGCCAGAGCAATAGCTGTCAAGTAAAAAGAAGAACACAAGCAGGGATGAAAAAATAAAAAAACACATGGTTGAAATGTATCATGTTACAGCATCTAAATCACTAACTGGTAACATTAAAAACAAATTTATTGTAGTAACATATACCAGTTTCTGCCTCACTGCAAAGTGTCTCATTGAATCAAAAGGCACCCTTTGGCAAATTTTCAATTGTCTATTTCAACTGACAAAAGACCAATGTATATTTTTTTTGTACCGTTGGTGGCAAACTGTTGACATTCCTCTCTGGTCATGTCAGGTTTGTATTTAGCATCAACGTAGCCGTAGATATAGGTGCTTCCTGAGCCGCCGATGGTTACAGACTGGCTGATTAACATCCCACCCAGAGATGCAACATATACCTAGAGAAAAATGGAGAATACACTTAAACTATGTTAAGTATACAGTTGTGTTTGAAAGTTTACTCTTCCATTATAGAAAATGATAAATTCACATTATGGCATGATTCCTGGCACTAGTGCTGGTCCGATTCAGTATTCAACACACCTCCAGATAAAGTTCTACAGAGCTTCTGTTCAGAGGTCTGGTCTCCTAACGGGTGAACTGTGTGCAGACCAGCACCAGTTTCAGGAATCATGAAACACTAATAAGTCTAATAACTGAAAAAGTAATAATAAATAAAATGACAATCTAGTAAAATAAAATATAAATTTAGTATTTTTGTTTAAAATAATAATTCTAAAAAAACAAACAATATACCTATGAAAAGGACTTGTTGAACATTACAGAAAACCCTTGAGTGCAGTGTTTGCTTCAAAGCATTGCTCAACAAAGTTGTTGTTTCTGAGCTCCATCAGGCTTGTTTACTTGTTTAATTTATGAAAATATATAATACAGTGCCTTGTGAAAGTATTTGCCCCCTTGAACCTTTCAACCTCTTGCCACATTTTGGGCTTCAAACAAAGATATACAATTTTAATTTTTTTGTGAAGAATTAGAAACTGGTGGGATACGATCATAAAGTGGAACAAGATTAATTGGATATTTTAAACTTTTTAAATAAATATAAAGTGAAGCATTGGGCGTGCAAAATGAATTGCCCTCATTACTTTGGGTGCAGCAAACCCCCTCCAAAATTTCAGTGAGGATCTCGGAATGATCCAATTTTAACATAAATCACTGATGATGATAAAATAATCCATCTGTGTGTAATCAAGTCTCTGTATAAATGCCAAAGCCCTGCGATTGTCTAAGAGATCTGTTTGAAGCACAGAAAGCCTCATGAAGAACAAGGAATAAATCCAGGCAGGTCAGAGACACTTGTGGAGAAGTTTCAAGAAAGATTTGCATTCTGGAAGAAAACCTGTTGGAGTCTGAAAAAGACCTGAGACTTGGACAGTGATTTCTTCCAACAAGACAATGATCAAAATCATAAAGCAAAATCGAGAATGTAATGGTTCACAAATAAATATGCTTTTTCGAAACACTCTCCATTTTCTGCAGGAATAGTGGGCAAAAATTTCAGTTTCTTGATGTGCAAACCCCAAGCGACTTAAAGCTGTAATCAAAAGGTGGTGCTACAAAGTATTAAATCAAGGGGGATGAATCATTTTGCACACCCAATTTTTCATTTTTTTGTAAAGATTTTTTTAAATGTTTACAAATTAAATTTACAATTTTAGATCTTTATGTTAGAAGTCTACAATGTGACATGTTGAAAAGTTCAACTGGACTGAATACTGTATACCATTTCTGTTTAACCACTTTTCCAAAATGTTTTGGCTCAACTTTATATTGCTTTGCAAAAGTAGAAACACCTTCAAATTTAGAATGTATGCATTAATTAATTGCGTTAATTAATTGCTTTAATTTATTTAAGTTAAATGTAGTAATACAACTATTTTCAGTGAAGCTACATGTTTAATCTGACTGTGAACAATCTGACTAGACATGGGTCTAACTACAGAAAAAGGAAATTTTGCATATACCGGTAATTGAATCCAGAGGCTAACTACAACAGCAACCACATGTATGTTTATTTGCAAAGAACCTGAAAGCAATAGATCATTTTTGGTTGTTTTATCACCACTATGCATTACTCAGCATTGTAATGTCCCATTTCTTTCAATGAAGTTTAAAAGTATTGTGTGACAGCATGTGGAAAAGTTCAAGCTATGCAAATACATTATTGAAGCTACTTTACTGCAACCAACCTGTGGTCCTTTCTTTTTGTCCCATCCTGCTGTGATGAATCCTGCCTGCAGCTCATCTTTGTGTTTATAACAAAGTTCTTTCAGAACTGATGCTGCAGCGATCACAAGAGGAGGACTCTCCATCTGTACACTATAAGAAAAACCATATGTATAAGGAAATATTTTATATAACTATAGATGACTAATGTTGTGCACTATAGGACAAAGGTTAATATACATATTGTTAGAGACAGACCAATCCGTTTTTCTTTTATCTGCATTGGCCAATTTTACCTACTTATTGTTTGCCCTCTACATATTATAATTAGTTTGGTGTGTTTGTATGAAATGGTTATGCTTAGATATTTTTGCCAACATGTCGAGTGCACTCACCAGTGAAATGACAGTTGGAACTTTGCAGTTTTGATGACGGCTTGAGCGTCTGCAAGTGACCCAGCCATGCAGCAGAAGATCTTGTCATGAACCTGAACCACTTTGTTGATGGTTTTAGAAGATACATATTCCCTGAATAAACCAATAATGGAGAAAGATTTATATTTTATATACTGAAGTTTAAAATATATTAAAAAAAAACATACAAATTCCCATTGCATGTCACAAGTTTCCCATTGCATGTCATGAATATATTTTTCTGTGATACGTTTGTGATCTAAGTTCACCAACAATGTTTTCTGCTGTTTGCTCTGATAAATTCTACTTGACTGAACTAAATGGAAAGAGTCTCAGAGATCTAATAGATTTATACTGTATAGATGTGTAATCTGGCTAAATATTTTTAGGTTGGCCTTTGTACCCTCTAGTGTACACATTTTAGATCAACTTCATTTTGTGGGAGAATATTGTAAAAAAATTTTATAAGTATCTTATATATACTGCATAGTTTGCTCAGAACGATTTTAAAAACATAACAAATATTCGTACTGTAATAAAGTCATAACAATATGATTGAATTGGGTTGAGCAGAGAAATTGTAAAAAAAAAAATGTACACCAGTTTAAAAAAATACAGTTCGAACAGTAAATGTTAAATCTATTTAATTTATATCAGGTTTTTTATGTGATGCCACCCATACACTGAAACTGGGTCTTATACACGATAGATACAAACATAGTAGGACACAGGGGCGGATTTAGGAAATTTGGGGCCCTAGACAAGGACAGGCAGGTGGCCGTCTGAATTGAGAACATGACAACACATAAAACAGACCCATTATACGGATACAGAAATTTTAATAGAATAGACATACATTATTATTCTACCTTTTGTCCCTCTCTTCTGATCCCTTTTCTTGTTGTTTTCCTCAATGTTCTCTTTTGTCCCTTTTTCTTTTTTCATATTGGCAATGTGCTCAGCTGACTTTTGTCACTTTGTCTCAAAAGGAATGAAAGATTTTTCCAATCACCAAGGTGCTTTTAAATGCTGTCGCCAAGTCTCCAGTAACAGAAAAAGGCCGCAAGATTAGGAGCTAGGTGCTTTTTCGAAATAAAAGTGCTAGTGGGGTCTGAGAGGTCGCTAAATATAGCGACAAAAGCACTTGTTTGGCAACACTGCTCTTCACACCGTTTGTTTTAAAATGTTGTGATTTGACCTCTCTGCACATCCACAGCAAATTGACTGATCCAAAGTGGTTGACACTAAAGGGGGGACACTTAATATTATAAGCGTTCTGATGGCATTTTAGTGAAAGGATTTTTATCATAAACATGATTAATGTGCACAAATGAGTAACAGCTGTATTAACCATACATGTAAAAGGAGTTTTAAGGGGCCCCCAGGAACTTGGAGCCCTAGGCAACTGCCTAGTTTTGCCAAATGGTAAATCCGCCCCTGGTAGGATAAGCGCCTTGCACAGGGGCACATCAACATGTGTTTGGGAAAGAAGCTTTAATCGATAGCCTCCAGACGCATTCTATTCCTGCTGAACCATAGCTGAGGATAATAATATATATACAACCAGAATTAACATGTCAATGACAAATGCACATGTAAACACAAGATAAACTTTGCAACCAATTAGTTTGCTTCATCAGTTGGACCAGGGCCACTTAGAATGGCAAGTTTAAAACTTCAAAAGTACTGTCGTCTGAAAGAGTTTATGTTAAAAGTGTAGTTACTAGATAGGAACTCTAAACATTTTTGAGAGGAGATTTTTGCCTACTACAAACAAGGCAGAAGGATAAAAACTTGGTGAGTTTTCAAAGGGATAAGCCTGTTAAAGGGCTCCCTGGTTAGATATAGATCAAGATCCTAGCCTATGGATTGGAGGCATGTCAGAACACCATGCAAGCATAGCGCTGGCTCATTGATGCTGTGGGGTTGCTTTGCTTCCTCTTTTATAGGTCACCTGCATCTTGTAAAGGGCAAGAACAAACCAATTAAGCCAATTGATGAAATTCTTGGATAAGATGTCTGGCTATCAGTGAGGAAGCAAAACTATATGGATTATAGGGCCTTGAAAATAAAAAATAATCCAAACCTAATGACAAATTCCCATCCATCATAGTTGCCTGACTTAAACTCTACTGAAAAAAATAATAGTGGGATTTGAAAACGGCTGCAGCAGCATGACCAAATGATTTAAGTGCCTGATTGGAAATGTTCTCTGAAATTAAGTTTTTATGAAATGAGAAAGAAAAAGAATGTAATTGGACACTGGTGTCATTTTAGGCCTGGAAATATAATTTAAACATCCTTATTATTCTGTTAGTGCTGCTTTTAATACATAATGTTTTGATGCAGTATCTATTTAAGGGCTGCAGAATTTCTAAATCTAATAATCTGAATACTAATTATCTTTGGTATGAAAATCAACATTTCTCTAGAATTAGAAAAATCTTGCTGTGTTTTATTGCTTTAACGAACAAGTCTGTGAATACCCAAAGTATAAAAATTATTTGTTTTAGTGTTGAACATTTAGTATGTTAGAGGTGAGAAAAACATTTTTTGGTTGTAAATGACATTTTGGAGCTAATGTTGTTAGAAATCAAATTAAATGCTGTTGTATCATAATTGTGTATAATAAAATATATATCTTCCTCACCCTCCAATTGAAGCCCTTGAGTCTGATCCAATCACGACCCCTCCATCAAATATCGCAGCCAAGATGGTGGTCTGAGGAGAAAAGGAGTGGGGGGGGGGGGTCATGGATTTAGTTAGAGTAAGAACAGTAGACACCTCTAATACATACATTTATTCATTGTCTTAGCGAAGCTATGAATCATGGGAAATGGAGTTCAAAGAGTTATAAGGTGGATATTTCAATCAAAAACAAAAACTAGATCCTATTTGCAATGTCCGTTTGTACGTATATAAAAATTAAACATTCATTGGATAAAACCAAAAAACAAAAAGTAGCTAATTAAATCACCATGATAATTCCAGGTAAACGCTCGGTTTGGCATCCTGCTGTATTTTCATGTATGATCGATCTTTCTAATTTTACGCAGTAAAGGTGTCCAGATATAAAACTCTTTAAAGCAGTTATTGGATGTGTCCATATTTACTCACCCCAGTGCTGACTCCTTTTACTTTAGACTCCGTGTAGTGTTTCTCCATTTTCTCTGTAAAATCGAAAGGAGGAAGGAGACGTGACGCTCAGAACAGCGACCTCAGGCGCAGCGCTCCGAGACGCGCAGAGAATCCGCAGGAACATCAACGATGGCGCTATCCTCTGTCCTCCAAACTCCTGCAGCTGGATTCAACTTTGACAATGTGACGAGGTAAGAGTTTTACTTTACTGTGCAGAAGTTAAAACAGCACATTAATAGAGAAAATATCAACTGAAACTGCCAGTTAAAGCAGGTCTTTCAGCTGGATCAAAACCGAAACCAACTTTGTCCTTATTGTTTATCTATAGTGCATAAAATATACACCATTAAACAGTAAATATAGTTGTTACATTCGTATGTTAATAAGTATTAAACGTTTAGTAGAGTAATTTCACACCTGTCCCCTCCCACCACACCTTGTCTCTTTTTTTCTTCAGAAATGCTGCTTTAGAGGGTCTTTCTGAAGGAGGACAGACCCCCAAACCTCTAAAAACTGGAACCACTATAGCAGGAGTTGTGTTTAAGGTAAGTGTTACTCACATTCGCAATACAGTTATAAAAAACAAAATCTGTGCTCTTTTAGAGACAAAATGTAACCTGCATAGATGTTGTTTTACTCAAATATGAGCACATTTTATTAGATCTAGGATTGTCAACCATTATAAATGATGGACACAGAAGAGGAGTTAACTACAAGATATAACCATGTTGATGGTAACATGTTGTTGAAGCATTTATTCTAATCTATTTTAAGTCAGTCACTTATAAACTACACCTAATCCTGCTTTAGTCTTTTTTTTTTTAGGTAACTGCAGCTTTGTCAGGGAAAATTATATTCAGATATATAAAAAAAAAACAGCTGCATAACTATAAGCTATTGGGGCTGATACAAAAAGCATTAAAAAGATTGAATCTAGGTTATTATGAGTTTTGGTTGAACCCTGGCTTATAATTTCTGTATAGGATGGAGTCGTCCTTGGAGCCGACACAAGAGCCACGTCCAGTGAAGTGGTGGCCGACAAGATGTGTGCCAAGATCCACTACATCTCTCCAAATATATAGTGAGTTTTATAAGTTTCGATTGAAAACAATGGCAGTTAAATTATAATACACATTATGAATGATATTTTAATGTTGTAGAGAAATATAGCAGATAACAATTCAAATTATTTTTTCCGGCTGAATATCTTTATGTAATAATAATTACCTCTAAATTAATATTAAAACTTCAATTTTTTTATTTGTAGGCTTTTATGGGCTATCATGTGTATGTAAGTTTATGTTTTCTTCACTATGTATGGAACTTAAATAAAGAAACTGATAGGAGATTAGCAATTTGAATAGATAAGGCACTGCATTGCTCAGTGGTGTTTGTAGCAGTCTATCCTCAGCATACTTGTTGCATGTTTTTCTTTTTTTGTGCATGATTTTCTAAGTGTTCTCTCCTTCATTTGGTTACAGTCAATGACAGAAGCGTAACATCATAAAAATCTGAATTTAGAATCTGTAAGGAATATTATGATCTGTATGTGGAAACAAATATGGATAATGTCTTATGAAGTCCTTTAAAAATACTAACCAAGTAGATCTCTTACATTATTAAAGTAAAGCATGAAAAAATAAGTTGCCACTTATTTTTTCTCACTCTAGGAGGTTGAATTGTCTCTATTATGTTGACTGTTTTCTCATTCTTATTATGTAATCTCCTTATACTTTAGCTGCTGTGGAGCAGGAACAGCAGCAGACACAGAGAAAACCACAGATCTCCTGTCCTCCAACCTCTCTATCTTCTCACTGAACAGTGGGAGAAATCCTCGTGTCGTCATGGCTGTAAACATCCTGCAGGATATGCTGTACAGGTTAACAATTTGTTTCATAATGTCTAGAAATAAGAATAAATATAGCTGAGAAAGTGTTTATATTTTAAAAATAATGTATTAATATTTAGTTTCTTGTGTTCAGGTATCATGGTCAGGTTGGTGCCAACCTGATACTGGGAGGAGTGGACTGTACTGGGAACCACCTGTACACCGTAGGCCCATTTGGAAGCGTTAATAAGGTTCCTTACCTTGCAATGGGTAGGTAGGAAAATTTGAACGGTCATGGTTGTGACATTGTTTCCACTGTGGTTCTCTGTTGTTGAGACATTATTTGATCGATTATTAAGCAAATAAAGTTTCTGTCCATATGAATACCAGCTTAGGTCTATCCACAAAGGTATTTAGTCTTCGTGTTTACATGGATCTGCCATTTTGGGAGAAAAAACATTTTCTTTTTTTAACTGGATCACAGAGTGGAAGGTATTCAAACTGGATTAAATGTACTCAATTTGTGTTTACAGGATCTGGAGATCTGGCTGCTCTTGGGATTTTAGAAGATGGGTTCAAACACGATCTAGAGGTATAATATATGAAAATGACTCTGTGCACATGGTGAAATATCAATAATTAACAAAATCTGTGATTAAAGGATTTCCTTTAGTTTTCCAGGAAAATATTTTAATCATAGAGGTTTACTATCACTGTATTATCATTATGTATTTCAGCCTGGTTGCTTCTTCCTCATATTTCTATCATCTCTCAGCTGGAGAAGGCGAAGGAGTTGGTACGAGCTTCTATCCATGCAGGCATCATGAGTGACCTTGGCTCAGGCAACAACATCGACATCTGTGTGATCACCAGACAAGGAGTGGACTACATCAGACCCTACCAGGAGTCAGAGTACAGAAATGACAGGTGGGCTGCGAGACGTCTGACTCCAAACTCTCAAGATGCTTTTATAAGAGCAGATTTCCAATAACTTATTGGAAATTGAATAAGGTTTTAAATAAAAATATTTTGCACAAATCCAGGATGGTTACTAAATGATTCCCTGTTTAATTTTTAAATAATAATCTAGAAATCCTTTAACAAAATGTCATTATTTTGTACAAAGGTTTGAAAAAATATGTAAACGAAGGTGTATGTGTTAGGTCTTGTGCTTTTAATTTTTCACAAGAGCCTGATTTTTTAGTAAAAAAACGCTAAGTACCTTTTAAGCACATACTACAGTATAAATGGGAATGAGACTTTTTTTCTGCTCTTTTTCTTTTAGGAAAATAAAATACAAGTATCGTCCAGGAACGACGGCAGTTCTAACAGAGAAAATTGTTCCCTTAAAGCTGGAGGTCGTCCAAGAGTCTGTGCAGAAGATGGATACCGCCTGATCTTTAATAAAAAGCCTCACTTTATAAACACCCAAATACTAAAGAGTCACAGTCATATTTAAGTATCTTTTAAAAACAAGACGGGTTCTGAAATAATCTGAAATAATGGTGAAACCATGCAATGATTTTCATATTGCACTGTCTGTCTGTTTTTAATGTGGAATAATTCAGTAAAAAATATTAAATATCCCAAAAAAAATAACATTGTGTTCTGATTATTTTTTTCCATTTTACTTTCAGCACTTATATTTTACACAAATCCTATTCTGTATACTGTTATTTAATTCCAAAAAAGTAAAAAAAAAAAAAAACATTGGACATTGTTTCCAAGTTTGAAGACGTTTCACTTCCCATTCAGGAAGCCTTTTCAATTCAATTGTATTTAATTCATACAAAACACTATGCAACATTTCTACATACATTATTTCAAATTTAAATTATAAAAAAAATGATATGCCTCCATAGTGTATTACACAGATATCCAGGTTCTAAAACCTAATTTCTGCTTTTCTGCCTAGAGACAGATGATGGCGAAATACTCGCTCTCTATTGGTTTATGAGGCATTAACTATTCTTTTTTTAATTCAAACTTAAATTAAAGCTAAATAATAGTTTACCTCACTGCTTTATAGCAGATAAAGCTTGAATTTCAAAGAAATGTTAATACTTTTTTTATAATACATTTACTGATAAAATATATGATAATTATTTCGATGGAGATCAATGTACCTCATAGATTTCTTTCACTTTCGGATTCTTTGTCACGTAAGAGGAAACTATCCACGGAGCTGTAACCTGCCTTCACTGTTTCAGGAAATATCAATAGTCTAAATTCAGATTTTTCTTAGATTTTAATTTTCTGGTAGAAAGCATTATGGCTCTGGTGGAAGTGAGCGGGTTGAAACCTTTTTCTGAACCCATCGGGCAGATTTTCGGCCGCAGACAGACGCACCTGGTTGACCGAACCAATCACTACAGTTTTGGAACCAAGATTCAGGAATTTGCTGTTCCTGTAGGAGAAGAGGTGAGTAGACTACTATCATTTCACCTTAAATTAGAAATAAAAAGCAGAAAATGTTTTAATGTTGGGAACTGAGGCGTGACGTGGATCGAGTTGCTTTACGCGTTGTTTTTACGCGTCTCTACAGCTTTGAATAGTTAGTTTTCTTATTAAATCATAATCATAAACGATCAAAAGTTACAGTTTGAACGATAATATTACTGCAAAGAGGATTAATTTCCATCCATCCAATAAACACATGAATCAGTCCTGTTTCTCTTTGCAGCCCTCAGGCTTCCTGCAGTCCTGTAACAGTGAGGGAGGGGTGAGTATTGACCTGAACCATGGCACCACCACCCTGGCCTTCAAGTTCAGGCATGGAGTCATCGTGGCTGTGGACTCCAGGGCTTCAGCTGGACGCTACCTGGGTAAGAGTGGACTAATGTTGGGGTTTCCAATCCCCAGACCTAAACATGGGTTCATTTCTAACATGGAGTTATTAAAGACAAAAGTTCAAAACTAAGAATTAAAATGTGCAGCTTCTCCTCTTTGCCTGGGAAAAAATGACAGACTGTCTAGTTAATTTCATTTAAGACTGTAGGAATGTTTTATTAAAACTAATAAACTAGTATTTTACCCACAACACAGACTTCCCAGTTTAAACACTCATACTAACTAGGTATAAAATCTGTTGACCTTATATTTACTTTTGTGCCTCCACCTTCCATCAATCCATCTTTTGTTTACTGTTTCTCACATATCAGGTCAGAGGTCAACAGGTAGAGGAAGGACAATAGTTATTCTCAAACAGTGGCCAGTTAACCGTTTATATTATGTCTTAAAAAACCCCCAACACATTTTAGATCAACTACCTTAGGGACTATAGTGCTTACACTGAGTATGATGCATTAAAATACAGAAGGTCTTAGGTTAATTTGAACTATGAAATAAATAAAAAAATCAACAAATTATTATTTCCTTTGTTGGGTCATTTGGCTACCCTGAAATATTTTGATATATTTTAATCTGTTGTCTAGCTTTATTTTACATGAGTATTTGTCTCCTTTGCAGCTTCCAATGATGTTAACAAGGTGATAGAGATCAATCCATACCTGCTGGGCACCATGTCAGGAAGCGCTGCAGACTGTCAGTACTGGGAGAGACTCCTGGCCAAAGAATGCAGGTCTTTGTTTAAAAAATATTTTCTAGTACAGTGGCATAAAGTTATTATTAACCATTTTGCTTTATTTGTTCATTGCTTAATATAAAAAAATAGTTTCATGATCTTATATATTTTAAAACTGCCAAAAGCAAAAATAAGAAATCTTCCTTCTTAACGAGGGCTTTGGGGGTAAAGTGGAAATAATAGCTTTAAATATGTTCAACTAAGCTCATTAGAAAACTTCTTTGATTATTAATCCACAAGCATATTTTCTTATCTTTATTTTGATCCTGCAGGCTGTACAGGCTGAGGAACAACCACCGGATCTCTGTAGCTGCCGCCTCTAAGCTGCTGTGCAACATGATGCTGGGCTATAAAGGAATGGGCCTTTCTGTGGGGAGCATGGTCTGTGGATGGGACAAAGAGGTGAGTTTCTGGTTTTGGTAGCTTTAATACTCAACAGAACTTTGATTAAAAGTCCATAAATACATTGAGTGCAGAGTCTGGTGTGGATGAACTTGACAAATATTTCAGATAAAACATAAAATTAAGAGTAAAATATATATTTAATGTGTTTAATGTTAATATTGTATTTGAAATGGATTTTAGGGTGTGCTCACATTATACAGAAACCAAGGTTATAAAAAACAAAACTGTGTCTATTGCAGGGCCCTGGTCTGTACTATGTGGATGAAAATGGGACTCGTCTGTCTGGTCGGATGTTCTCTACTGGTTGTGGGAACGGTTACGCCTATGGAGTGGTGGACAGCGGCTACAGGGAAGACATGACAGTAGAGGAGGCGTATGAGCTCGGCTGTCGGGGCATCGCTCATGCTACTCACAGAGACGCTTACTCTGGTGGAGTAGTGAACAGTGAGTATACCTGGATAATATTTATTTACTTCACTGATTTTATATACCACTTTATGTTATCTATTTATGTTATGCTATCCTGTTTCTTGCTCAATACTTTAAAAGCTGTGTTCTCAACAGCAAAATGAGCTTCTGTTGTTTTGTGATTTCCTACATGTAGATGTCAGGGAAAAAGCTCTGATCTTTTAAGTTATTAAGGTTTTATATCATGTTTTTGATTTAGAAAATTTTCAGCTGATAAATAATATTACACAATTTCCTCTGTAGGACAAATTTTCCAGAACAGCAAGAACAGTAATCGATGAATAACACGTTAGTTGTTATTAAGCACCAGAAATTCAACATATTCTCATTATCAGTTCGTATGAAATCGTACGAAAAGTTATGCACAGTATTTCGTACCTTTTGGACGTTTTTCATCGAAAATACAGATCAGTGCGCATGCGCAGCCAGACAGACGAAAAAAGCAGATCCGCGGACGGATGTAAAACTGGGAAAAACAGTGCAAGAATTACTTCTTCATGTCTCTAACTAGGTTGCTTGCTGTTTTGTATCTTAGGGTTAGGGTTCATTGTATGTTAAATTCTATGTTATTTAATGGTGGGTAAGATGCGCATGCGCAAGGATATCTTGTCTCGAGGCAAGACGTAAAAATACAACGAAATGCGACGAAAAAAACGTCTAAAACGTACGAAATTACGGTGCATAACTTTTCGTACGATTTCATACGAACTCATAATGAGAATACACTGAGAAATTCTTTACCATTTCTATTAGTTCTGTTCACTTGTGTTTTATTAGTGATTAATTTTATTTTTATCTGTATTTTGCAGTGTACCACATGCAAGAGGATGGCTGGATTAAAGTGTGTAAAGAGGACGTCTCACAGCTGATCCATCGTTATAGAAAGGGAATGTTCTGAGTCAAACATTCAGAACCCTCATCAACTTCAACACTGTTCATTGATGTACAACTAAAACAAATAAAACTGAGACAGAAACATGAATTAATAGAGTATGTTTAACATTTTTTAATCATCCCTTTTTTTTTTCAAAATCCCTAGAAAATGGCAAAAATAAACACGTCTCTGAATAGAAACTGCTTCATTGTGCTTTTATATGAGTAATTAACATTTAAAAATGCCTTAAATGTTATCTTTTTAAGTGAAAAAACACCCAACCATCCGTTGTAGACAAGCTTTACAATTTTTGGAAATAGCATTTTAACCCTTAAATACTGTTTAACTTTTGAGTTGTTGAGAAATTTTCTAAATCATATGATACCATCACATCTAATAAAAATAGCAATGCAGTCATTGAATAAAAAGACTGTTTTACTTGCTTTTATTTACTGTTTATATTGGGGCATGTTGGTGTCTAACAAGTAGTGTTTCTTGTTCACTCCCTGGTTCACTCATACAGACATTGATATGAAAATTTACATTGCAAAGCAAACTTGAGCTTTTATGCTTTATTTTTTTCCTAAGCTAGTTTAGAATAAGGACCGAGCAGCTGCTTATATGTTTCATTTATATCATATTTATCCTGGAGGACAATATTAACACTTCAGTTGGAAGTTGAAAAATCATTGTTTAGTTACATTGCCCGGACATGTCCTCTTTTTAAATTCTGTTTGGGGCGTCAGGGACGAGGGATTGTAAATTAATGAAAATTTCCAGTTTTCACTGTTTTTCATGGGACCATAATCATATGCTTAAATCAACTAAATAAAATCAAGTAAAATCAGTACTTTGTTGCCTGACATAATTGTCGAAGGACTGCCTTGTGGGAGGGTCCAGAGAGCAGAGCATTGGACACAAAATGTTGAAACCAAATTGCAGCTTCACAGATGAACTACAAAAAAATGTTTGCATGTACTGTCCCGGTCACGACAAGTGGATGGATGAGTGCACAGTTTGCAAACTGGGTAAATATTTTTCAGTGTCTGATAAAGGTGCTGGAGATCTAAAAGCTCACACAGACATTGAAAAACAGGTGAGAGTTATTCTGCAAAGTTGACTGAGTACTTTGTTAGACCTGGAAAAACAGGATGCTGTAATGAGGTAATTTGTTGAAGCTGTATTTTCTAATACAGAGGAGGTCATATTTAGAACATTATTTGATATTATGTATTTTGCAAGAGAGCTACAATTTTGTTATTATAGGCGTCGAGTAAAAAAATACAAATACTTCGTTACCTCACTAAGCATAAATTTTGGCTATATATACTTGATAATTACTGGAGTATTTTTTTTTTAAACAACTGTTTACCTACATTACATTTTCGTTTTGCAATTATGTCTACTTTCTACTGCTTACATTTTTTAAATAGACTCATTAGTTTTGTTTCATTTAAACTTATATCTTTGTTATGGCCTCTCGGGTATTTAAGAAAACAATCAAAACCATCTAAATAATTTGTTTCATCCAGACAAATATTTTCTTTGTGGTTGGACTCGGTGCTGCCTCAACTTGTTGTTCACCACATACCAAAATACATCGTTTTTTCAAAATGATGCAAAGTTAAAATTGTCACTGTTACCATTACAAAATTAAGAAAATTTAGTATAAGAAAAATAACATCCAGAATTGTGGCAAAATGTTCCTTTAATATGGTAGTGCAGTTAGCAGTAAAAGCTTTAAAAGCATCAGTCCTTAACATTTTTTCCTGAATTACTTTTATACTTTAAGTAGTTTTAAAAATTGTGTTTTTACACTTTTACTTGAGTAAAAAGCTTAAGTTGATCCTCTAACTTCTACACAAGTGTTTTTAACCAGTAGGATTTATACTTCTAGTTGAGAAATACATCAATACTTTTGACACCTCTGCTGGTTGTTACAGATTTCGTTTTACTACAGAAGTTATTTTTGTACCATTTAGGTACGGTATAATAAAGCATGCTCATTAACCTCTGAGAAGCCTGTCTGAATCGAGGCCAGAGGCTGGGCAAAGTGTCTCCCCTTTTTGGGAATCAAAACATGGTCGCCCTATGCTTTTAAAATAATCAATAAAAAAACAGAAACATATAAACATAAAATCTGAGAACTTTGAAAGTTTACAAAGAATATTAAGAGTTAGGAATAATGTTCAGGTTTTGTTTAGCTTATGAAACATTTAGCCTCAATAAATTATCTCTCTAAAAAGGTTATCTCTAAGTCTATACTCATAAATAAAATTTTCACCAAACATTTTAATGAAAGCTTTTTCATTCCAAATTACATGCTATTAATTAATATTCCATCAAATTAATAATGGTGTAAAACATTTCATTTATTTCTTTAGAGTGCTTTAGGTTCTTATCCATCAGGGTCATAGCAGGGCTGCTGTCTATCCTCAGCAGTGTGTTGGCAAAAGGGGTAAAAAAAAAACAGTCTAGGCAACTCAGATACTCACAATCATACATTCTTTCATATTTTTTATGGAAAAAAGCCAAAAGAGAACCCATGCATGCATAGAAATATTAATATTCCATGCAGGAACTTTTAGCTGCAAGGTAACAGTACCACAAACAACCACTGTGTAACCTCAATGATATACCAATGGCATGACAGGTGATGGGCTTTCTCCGCTCTCTGCTCAGTGAAACTTGTCATTGTATGTAAGGAAGCATGTGAGGCCATAAATATGAAGCCGGAACTTGTTTCTTTGTATATCATTTAATGTGATATAGAAACAACAGTATGTAGAAACACAAGACTACTAAAGACTAGCTTTTACAAATGGAAAAAGGAAAGGTAGCAGAGAGTTAGCTTTGTCAGAAGTAGGGGAGACAGTTGCAACACTTCTGTACCATTTAAAGGTATAGAGTAGGATTTCCGTGAATTTTTGAACTTAAAAAAAGCACATGCACAACCCTGTACCCGCTCCTGAGAAGTAATGCCTATTAAAAGCGTGCAAGAGCGTGCACGAGCCTATTTCTCCTCGTGCACACTCTGTCTAAAAGTTTCTGATTACATTGCTCACACAAGCTTACTTTCCAAAAGAACATTTGCAATTTTTCCACTATGTCAGACTCACCACCAGTAACTGGAAAAGGGGACGAGCACGTAGGATGGCCTTACATAAACATATCTGCAGAATGATTGACAGTTAGGCGAACCACTTATTGAGATGATCCACCTGGAAAAAAGAACATCCTCCACTATACATTTAAATATGACTATAGGGGAAAGATATTTTACAATATCAAATAGACAGTTAACTGTTGCAAAACACCCCATCCCTGGGACAGTTACAATATGTCAGATCTATTCAGTTTTAGAAATCAACTTTTGTTTTTTTGTTACAGTGAGAGTATGATTCTAAGAATTGTATTAATTTTAAAACTACACCAAGCCGGATGGCTCTCTGAAATGTCCATATACTGTAATGAAATGGTTTAATTAGGACCAAGAAATGTCACCAACTAAGAATAAAGTGTTTACGATTAAGACTACAGCTCTGGACACTGGAGTAAAGGACTAGGAAGAAGAGAGGGGCAAGTGAGTAACATTTGTAGATGGCAGCAACATCAGTACCATGTGGGCAACTCTTCCCCAGAGCTGGAGAGAAAGTGAGGCAGAAGAGGAGCAGATCTAAACCAAGCACTGAAATTATTATCAAGTGGGAATGCTTATGCATTCCCACTTATTGTTGTTCACTTTAAATTTTTCTGACTCTAACTAGTCCCGCAGTTTTCAACCGATTTCAACAATTTTGGTATCAAAGCGTTCAGCTTGTTCAGGAGAATTGTGTTATGTCTTTTGGTAAAGATATTTTTTGTAGTTTTCGCAATATTCTGCTTTTTCTGCGTTTTTTTTTTTGTCCCATTGAAATGCATGTAGAATTGTTAGATTTCAGCAAAATTCAGCTAAAACTTTATCATCTTCGACCTTTAACTACTTCAGCATACTTTCAGCTAGAAACACCATTCAACTTTTAAAATGTTTCCGTATCTTTCTGCTATTACTGTTTAACTCGGCTTTTTGCTAACTTTTACAGTTTCGCTTCAGTGAAGCTTCAAACTTTTAAAGAAAATTTTCAGATTTTCAGATTTATAATGGAAGTCTATGGACGGAATTCTTCAACTGCTAGAGGGCGTGCTCTAGCTTTTGAGCTGTTCTGGTTTTTTCGAACAAATTCTTCTCAGTCCCTCATTTTTCACTCAATTGAAATAAAATATACATCAAAATGTAGGGATTTTTGTCAGGATTCAGGAAATGTAACTCTCATTTGTGTGGCATTTACAGTTTTCCAACAGTTTGGCCCAGACCACGAAGAAGTCCACACTTCCCCAATAGAAATCCAATGAGAGACTTTCCAAAGATCACAGACAAAATCCAAAACGATACATATTTTCGTATCGCTCCCATTTCTTAACTATTTGATGTACTAACATGAAACTTGGTATAGAACATCTTCAGAACCTTCTAGCACTCACATTGAAGGAATTTCTTCAATATCATTTATGGTTTAGCTGTTTAGCTAACTTGTTCATGCATAGGAAAACTTTGATTCTGAGAAAAATCCTCAAACTAAGAAAATGCACATTTTTACATCGTCACCGTGGCCAAATAGTTTTTAGTAGAAACATGAAAGTTGGCACAGTCGAAGCTGAAGGATGGCTGATGTCCACGGTGAAAGAATTTTTTAAATACCTTTTATGGTTTTGGCTCACCACTCGTTTGTTCGGAGGGGAAGTTTTGCTTTTGACAGCTCACCTCTACCATGGAACTCCATGTTATTCAATGAGATCAGCAGGAGTGACCAACCTTTTTATTTCTCCTTCCCATTAAGGTTGTGAATGAGCTACAGCCATGAAAGTTACCCCAATCGGAGACAAAGGATAGCTGTCGCTTAGACTGAAATAATTTTTTAGATACCATTTACGGTTTGTCTTCAGCAGTCGTTTGTTCGGAGCTGATATTCCCATTCAAAAAAGCCTGAGAGGAAAGGAACGATACTGTTGTGCCTTTCTCTCTGTCACTGACAAGTTCGTTAAGCATTGTCAAGGTAACCGAGCTTCAAAGGGATTTTACCTCTGCCACTTTAAAAAGCACATTTTAATCTAATGGAGGGAGACAACCTTGATTTAACATTTGGAAATGGATACAATATGACTACTGGCCATGACCCTTCCCTTCACACACAACCCTGATAGACTTTCAAAATAAGACTCCGGGGACCCTACAAAATAAAAACCCCTACATTAAACTCATATTTTTTTCCCAGCATATGGCTCAGCATTATGACCCAAACTCAACCACTTTTTTTAAAATTAGACTCTAGGGGGGTTTTCAAAACACACCCCACAGCAAATTTCAAAATAAAAGCCTCCCATTGCCACTTTATCTACTGCCCTAATAACGGGAAAAGAGTGATTTAACGATTGGAAAGTCATCAAGTATCACTGCTGGGTCTGACCCTTTTCTCAACACACAACCCTGCTAGACTTTCAAAATAAGACTCCAGTAACTCTACAAAATAAAAGCCTCTATATTATACTCACGTATTAATTGATGCAAATGTCCCAGCATTATGACCCAAACTCTACCAGCTTGTTTCTATTAGACTCTAGGGACCTTTTCAAAACATACCCGAGAGCGAATTTCACAATAAAAGTCTCCCGTTTACACTCTAATGCAGCATCTATTCACCCAATAACATGGAAAACCAGTGATTTCATATTTAGAAATGGATTCTACATCACTGCTGGGCATGACCCTTCCCTTGACACACATCCATGATGGACTTTCGAAATAAG